GATGATGATGACGAGGAGGACGACGATGACGATAATGATGATGATGATGATACTGTTCTTCCGGACTGAAGGGATGTGACGTCATGAAATCCAGGCAGGCAGGATATGGATGATGGTGAGAGGCATATAATGATTCCCATTGACATCTAACCTGTAACTAATGACACCATGGAAAGCATGAGTCATGGTAGTGATGACGATGACGACGACAATGATAATAGCAAAAATTATACTAAAATTATGTTGATAATAATGAGGCGCATTGATGATAATGACTCTAACGACGCATGTATTGTCTGTTTAATCAGGAGGAAGTAAGTAAAAAACGAATTCGGCACACACCTGATTTGATCATTTTAATATTTCAAGAATGCTGGAGGTGGGTTTATTAATCTTTTTTCGAAGAAGTAAGTCAATATATCTTAAAAAAATCATAAATCAAAAAAAGCAAATTATTATCCTCATTTTTTAAATAAAAAAAATGGTTTAGTTTTTCTAGACCTTTTATAAAATATACATTATTCGGTCAGGTTTAATGTAAAACATACACACGTACACACACACACACACACACACACATACGCACACAAAAAGGTACACACACGCACACACAAACAGCCCGCCACACAAACATGTGCAAGCACATGGACACCAAACAAATTTGATAATATTGTTATAATACTCGCTGTCGTAACCGATTTACGATGCGACGGGTTCAAATCCTCGATTGAATAAAATATTCCAAACAGTTATTAAACTTTATTTACAGAAGAAATCAACTATTATTAGTTATTAAACTTTATTTACAGAAGAAATCAACTAATCGTTTATTTCCAGTAAATTCAAACTAACGCAACAATTAACTTTTAAATCGTTCAAAATCTATCGCTATGACAACGTCAACAAACAAATCAAATATCGCTTTAAATAATTCACCGAATCGCTATTCACAAAATCACGAATTTCACTAATCACGAATATCACTAATCACGAATATCCCTAATCACTTGCGACGTGCGCTTATATACTCTTCGCAAACGTCGTTTCTAGATTCTTCTAGATGGTCCAATTCTAGCATACTCTAGAATGCTCCATTCACTAGAACATTCTAGAATACGCTAGAATCTAGTGCGTTCGGTAGCACGGTTATAACAATATAACTAACATGCCGAATGAATTTCAGCATCGTTGCACGCGTTAACTCCATCTCAGGTGCACACTTCAACGAAAATATTGAACATCAAAAAGAAACAATGAAAATTTTTCCGAACGGTCAAAAGTCCGCCTGATGCGTCCCCTGCCGCAAATTAACTAACATTGAAAAAATAAATCAATATTTTCTTCAATTTGCAAAAAAAATTATAAAAGTATAAAATTGCCTTAAAGTATTTTTTTAAATTAATTTTTTCGTATCAAGAGAATTTTTTTTAATTTGTGTCTATTAGATTTAATTGTTTATTTATTTATATTACAAAACTTTTTCAAATGTGATAAATTTATACACTCACTTTAAACCACCAAACTTTCAATTTTTCGTACTTGTTATTTTTACAAAATCCTTTACTTATATTAGATAAATATTATAAGCTTATTTTTAAAACAACACCTTTGAATGATAAAATAGCTCTCAAAATAACAGGTAAAATAAAACAAAAATCAAATCCTAAAATAAACCATAAGTCTGAAAAATATACATAACTTTCACCAGATAAATCATAAAGATTTGGCAATTAATAGATTTAAAAAAATGTAAGCGAAAGTCCAGGAGTCTTCAGATGATACACTGTGTCTCAACTGACGCTAACAGCCTACAAAACTCATAAAGATGATGAGGATGAGGATGATAATTTTACTTTTTATAAATTTAGAGAAGTAGAAAAGTTGACAGCAAGTAATGGCAACCTACTGTCCACAACTTATGCCATGAAAACAATCGACAAACATGAACCAAATCAAAAAACATGATAGTGACAAGTTGAATACAATTTTACTCTGGTAACATGGAACGTTAGAACGTTAAAGGTTAATAAAGTTTAAGGGCAATTACACTCTTCCAAAGTTCAGAAGGTTCAACAACACACCACAAACATCATATAAGAGTACGTGCTAAACGATGCATCACACACGAAGCATGTAGTTGGCGGGGATCTTTTTGTTATATACGAACCCGATTACTGCGAAACAGCACCAGGCGACCTTAACCATTACACCATCACGCTGCCCCAGACGTTGTATCAGACTGGAAGTCCTTGTGTCACTTGTTGAATATCACCACATTTCAACTACTAAAAAGTGCTAAAGATCGGGTTTTGTGGAGGTCGATGGTTGCCAATGTCCTGAAATGAAAAGGCACGAGAGAGAAAGAAGAAGTGTTAAAAATATCAATTTCAACTTTCATTTTTTAACATGTTCGTTTTTGTAAATTTCTTTTAACTTGAAAATTTTTCCAAAAAAAGAGTTTAATTTATTTTCAGCTTAATTCATAGATACAAATATGACGTTCCAAGAAGCGAGAAGAGATGATTAATGTTTCTATGGGAACAATGCAAAGATAATAAAAAGAATTTTTCTCACAATTTTTCAAATTACGTGCTTAACAAATTTATTTTTTGTAAGGTATGGAGAAAATTGTGAAAGATTCAAACAAATAATTATCAGATAATATGCTAAAAATATAGTTAGAAGATAAATATTGCTGGAGTTAACAAAACTTTTTTTAATTTCTGATAAATTGTATTTATTTGCTTTTAACCATCGTCTTGAAATTAATTTCATTCATGATTTTGATTATTTAGAAAAGAAATTCAGTATCGAATTCGCAATTATGTTGAAGATTTATTTACAAAAACAATTTGAAGAAAACAAATTCGCAAACACTTCTAATTCAATTCCAATTTGATGGAAATAAAAATATTTAAACTAAAAAAAATTTTTTTCTCTTTCATGAAATGTACTTTGTAGATTGTTTTTAATCATTATTTTTTCAAATGCTCCATTTCGTTTTTTTCCAGAACGGATATCCGTGTTTCATTAAATTCTGTCTAAAATTGTCAAAAAATAAATAACAAACGGTTTTCCGTTTCTGATTTTTTAAACTTGGAACACGTACAAAATTTTAGAATTAATTCGTTTCAGCAAATATTTAATTAATATGATGCTGCCGATGGCGATAATGACGTTGTTGGTGACGATGATGATGGTAATGCTGCTAAAGATGATGAGGAAAATGATGATGAATAAAAAAGATGGTGACAATGAGAAAGATAATAAAATGATAAATCATCTGTCTTAATTTGTAGGAGACGTATTCCATCCATGCACAAAGGCGTACATGTTGTTCATTTTTCAAACCAGATCCAGATAACCATGATTGTGAAAGAAAGAAAGAAAGACCTTCAAAGAAACGTGCGTACATAGGCGCATTGATGGACATATACAAATAGTGATGCATACATACAAATATTGTTGTATACATACAAATGTTGATGCATATATACAAACATTGATGCATACATACAAACATTGATGCATACAAACAAATATTGATGCATACAAACGTTCGTCGATGCACATTTGCGCACAGAATGTGGACATTTTTATATGTATGCCAACATATGCACGCGAGTCTACACATCCATGCATAGGTGTATCAAAGCATGAACACGTGCGTGTATGCATGCATACGTACGTGAGTGTATGCATTCGTGTGTAGAAGCTTGCATATCTACGTGGACGTACACAAATGTGCATGAATGGATACATACATACATGCAAGCATGCATACATCCAAACTTGGATGCTTACGTACGAACTTGGATGCATTACACTGAAACATAACGGCGTAAGAATAATTTATTTGCATGCAAAAAAGACATTTTCCTTTATAAGTCTGTGGATTTGTGCATCACTGTTTTTTTGATATATTGATTGATATATATATATATATATATATATATATATATATATTTATTTATTTAGGAACGAGGTTTTCAGAAATGCAAATTTCATTGAAATTGTTTGCCCATTTTGCATTAATTAACTTCTTTATAAGACATTCAACGAGGCGGTATTGTTTGAGTTCATATTTATCTAAAACTGGAATAAAGCTAACAGCGCTGTTTCGGCGTAATGCCATCTTCAGAGCCTAAATATTGTTTAAACATATAATTTAATTAAAGTAAATGCCTAATGTAAAATGTGAAAATATAGAAAATAAAATATGTATTAAATTGTGAAATAAATTAACCTTGTTGTAAATATCATAATAACTAAAGTTTATGTAGATTATATAAATAAAATAATGTAATTTAAATAAAATGTTTAGTAAAATAATTAAAATATAGAAATTTTATAAAAGTTTTAACATGGTTGAGAAACGTTAGTGAAAACTAATTACGAATGACATGTGCGCCAGATATATAATATTGCTGTGTATGCGTTGTGAATACAACTATTGCGGTTGAATATGTGTGATACGAGTTTCCACATCAGACCTACGGATACATAGTTAAATATAAATACATATATGTACATGCAAGATACATATCTATGTATAGATCAAGTATTAGGTATCACATAATACATCCAACGACGCGATGACGGTTGTCGGATGACGCTGGGTCACAAACTGCGTGTTGATGGGTTGAAATGTATTCAACGTAGGATGATATTCATATCGTTG